GCCCAATAGGAAGTCCTTAATACCTTTTCTGCTGAGTTAATTCGTTGCGAAAGGTCTTCGGATTCGGCAAGTGCGATGGCAAGCCTCTTTTCTGCGGCCAGATAGTTTTCACGGATTTCCTCACGATAACGCTGCTCGTCATCGACTTGTCCTTGTAGTTCTTTCACCTAAAAACACAGTTTGTAAGGTTTTAACCTTTATTTGCTGTCTATTTTATTTTCATGACAAAGTATGAGGTGAAATAAAACTAAAAGTATACTGAGATATGAGCAAAACTCGAAGTCTCAGCTGGGCTTCGAAACTGCGAAACCCTTACTGGAGACTTATGTGTAATTCGCCACAAAACCGAGGCCTTTGCTCTGCCTTTCTATCAACCACTCTTTTGTTCTATCGGTTATACCAGCAATCACAAGCTAAAACACTGTAATTTCGACTGCAGCTTCAGCTTATTTGGATTAAATGCCGATTTTTTCTCCCTAGATCATCCACATTGAGGGGTATTCCCAAGCAACACAAAGAATTTCTTGTTTCTCATTTCATGTTTTGGGGCGGAGATAGCGCTGTGGTTAGTGGTGCCGTCGATCAGGAAGAAAAGGCAATAATTTCCCTCCTCTCCCCTTCAATCCACGTAAGAACACCGTAACCCAGCTCTCTCCAAGATTGTAAGGAGATTTGACTCGACCAGTATTCTAAAACATTCATAAAGAAGACGACAATCCTCAAGCAGCAGCCGAAACAACACGCGAAAATGTTTGAAGAGCGATGAATGCTAGGAAAACGAATCGAATGCAAGAAGTGCTGGGATCCGCACAGTAGATGTGATGACGGGTAATTTAAAATAGAAAAAAAAATAATATTTCATATTCTTGCATAAAATAGTCAGAGTGGTAGGAGTACATGACCAACCTGATCAATGAGCCGCTTTAAAGTCTTTTGTGTGTCGACGTTTGCTTTGTTGGCATGGTCAAGTGTGATCTCTAGTTGGTTAATGTCGCTTTCCAGCTTCTTTTTCGCTCGAAGTAATTCTGCTTTACTCTTTACTTCGGTCTCTAGTGACGCCTTTAAAATCATACCGTTATAGGAATTTGAAAAACTTGTGAGCTCATGTTACCTGGATAGATTCGATAACCCGCTGATGGTTTTTTCGTGTGACCTCGAATTCTTCTTCTTTTTCCTGAATCCGCTTCTCAACTTCAGATCTGATCTGTTGCACTTCAATTTGTGAACGTAGTACCTGAAATAGAATCAGCTGTCATTCACGGCTTCACTTTCTCACCTTGATCCAATCTACCTTGCCCTCCTCGGCCTCAAGAGCTGCTTCAGCCTCATCAAGGGCATGCTGAAGTTCGTCTTTTTCCTGCTCAATGCGTTTGACTGCCTTTTGCAGATCGTTAAATGTCCTTTCGCCCTGAGAAATCTGTTCATTCAGATCGCGGATCTCCTGTGCGTAATTTTTGTTTTCTCGTCGTAGGACTTCGATGTGCTCAGTTAGACTGTCTAAGGCGGATCTCAGCTTGAAGAGCTCAGTGCTCGTGTTACGTGAGTCACGATTGGTCGCATCAATCTCCTTCTGTATATCGTCCACTTTTCGTTTCCAATCGTCCACAATTTTGTCGAAAGCCATTTGCTTTTTCTCTAGTGAAGCGATCACCGCTAAATGTCGATCTACTTCAGAGCGAGCGTCTTCGGTTTCTTGAAAAAGTCGTCCCTTCACTTTCTCCAGCGAGATAACCTTATTTTGTGCGACTGACAGCGCTTCCTGCAAGTCTATTATGCGAGCCATTTGTTTCCTTTTTAGGTCATCAACCTCATCTGCTCCCACTAGGCCTTCTCCACCATAACGGGCTTTCCACTGTGAAACTTCTGAATTGATGCGACTGAGCTGGCGTTGAATATCGTCCTTGGAATTTATCTCTTCCTTCAGTATCTCATGACATTGCTCAATTTCATGTTCAAGGTTCTTGCAGGTTGCATTTAATTCATGACGTTCACGAGTTTCTTCTTCAGCAGCTTTTTTGGCTTCAATCAGCTGACTCGAGATTCCAGCCTTAGCCCGATTGACGGTGTTTAAGTGCGCCTCCAACTCTTCCACTTGACGAGCCAGATCACCGTTGTCGCTGAGAAGACGACCTTTGGACGTAGTAAAATCCGTTATTTGCTTTGACTGTTCGTCAACTTTTTGTTGAAGTTCAACGACCTGAATTTCATACTGTTTAGCAAGACGTTCTTGCTCTACTCGAGCCCTAGAATCCTGATCGAGCTGTACATTAATGTCGTCGAGGTCTTTTTGCAGAGCACTTTTTTCTTTCTCAATTTTTACTTTGGCTTTTTGCAGACCATCGAGCTGATTGGTCAACTGGGCAATCTGATCGTTGTTCTTTTTTCTCAGAGCAGCTAACTGATCTTCATGAGCCACATTGCGCTCATCCAAATCACGGCGGCACTTTAGAATCTCCGAGTCTTTTTTCTTATTCAGTTCACGTTGAGCTTGCATCTGACTGTTCTGCTCGTCTAGACGATCGCTTAGCTCGTCAAGTTCTCTCTGTAACTCGGACCTTGTACGGTCAGCCTTAGCTCGTGATTGACGTTCGTGTTCGAGTTCGTCTTCTATTTCGACGATTCGTGAAGCGTTCTCCTTCGATTGGCGGGTGAGTCGATTAGCCAGTGTTTGTTCGTCTTCTATTCGGACTTCTAAGGCATGCAGATCGGCTTCTTTTTTTCTTAGAGAAGTATCTGCCTCCTGCTTGATTTTCCTTATTTCTTCTATAGTTTCTGTTGCAGATTTTAGTTCATTCTCAATCTTTCTTTTCGCCTTTTCTGTTTCGGCACGAATTCGACGCTCGCGTTCAATAGATTCTTCCATTTCATCAAGAGCTTGCTCTAGTTTCTGTGTTAGACGGGCCGCTTGTGCTTGCTTCGCTTCTTCTGCTTGCAGGTCGTCGACTATTTGGCAATTTATCTCCTCCTGATGTTTTTTTTCTTTATTTAGCTTACCGATTGTTTCATCCTGGGCTTTGATCTCGTCTTGAAGGGATCGTATCTGGTTTTCCTTAGCTTCCTTTTCCTCTATAGACTTCTGTAAATTTCCGTCGACGAGCTCGATGGTCCGTTTCATGTTTTCCACTTCCTGCAAGGCTTTCCGCTTTTGTCTTTCCAGTTCGGTATTTCTGTCCTCTTGCCCTGAAAGCTTGTCATTGATGTCATTTAACCCTTTCTCGAGTTCTTGTTTGGAGCTAGTTAACTTTGATAGTTTTTCCTCGATTGAAGCTGAACCGCCTTTAGTCCTCTCCAGCTGCTCCAAAAGTCTACTTTGCTCGCTCTTCAACTTATTATAGAATTCCTCTTTAGCTTTTCTTTCCGTTTCGGCTTTAGTAGCTTCTGTTTCAAGCGCTTTCTGTTCCTCCATCATTTTTGCCATTTCCTCGGCCATTTTACCACATTTCAACTGAGGTCGGATCTTTCCGAACAACAGGAACCAGTTCCAAGTTCGAAGTACGCACCATGAACGGATATTTCGTTGCAAGATTATGTAAGAGCTCAGTTGCTTTTTACGAGCGTCGTACTCAGCGACGGCATTGTAGTAGCGAATACTGCATTGGAGTCCTGTTATCACCTGGTTGAGTCTTTTATCTCTAAGCTCCTCAATGTGTGCAACAACTCCGGCTTTGAAAAACACTTTAGTATAGCCAATTCGGAATTGCTCCTCTTTAAGTCTATCGTTTTTCACCAGAGCCTGGAGGATCGCACCAGCACTGACTTTAGGATCCTTACTGGCTTTCGCCGCATCTGCGCTAAGAATAGAATAGCGATGCACGAAATCAGTGTGAAGAGTTCTATTCGGAAAACCTTTGCGGCAAATACGGATACCTTCAAGCACACCGTTGCAGGTCAGTTGGTTAAGAACAAGAGCGGCGTCGATCACCCCAGAAGCTTTCTTCTCATTTGGAATTATACACCGAATGAAGTGCGGGTGCGTCTTATGAAGCATGTTCATCAGATTGTTCAGCGATTCTCGATAAAGCATAGATACGGTCATAAAAGAACCGGACTTTCCTTTCTTCTTCCCACCACCGCCGGCTGAAATTTAAGAGTTCAATAAAAAAAAAATGGTGACAAGTAAAAGTATAATATGGATCCATAATACAAGGACGAACATTTGGCAGACTCAGCGGCGTCTTCCTGAGTGACAAAGTCTCTCCAAACTTCCACGAGTAGGTCGTTGCCCTTTGAGGCTTTCATCACGGTGACAACGGTGTCGTTCAGTGGGTCTTTATTTTTCTC